ATACCATGTCCCTAAGCGTGACATCTAATTAACTTGATACCATGTCCCTAAGCGTGACATCTAATTAACTTGTAAACACCACCAGAGATGGTGACTCAACCAACTGCCTTGGCAGCATGTTCCAATGCTTGACAACCCTTGCAGTAAAGAAATTTATCCTAATATTCAACCTAAACCCTTCCTGGAGCAACTTAAGGCCATAACCTCTTGTCCTATCACTAGCTACAAGGGAGAAGAGTCCAACATCCACCTTGTTGCAACTTCCTTTCAGGTAATTGTAAAGGGAAATAACATCTCCCCTCAGACTCCTTTTCTCAAGACTGAACAACTTCAGCTCCCTCAGCCCCTTCTCATAAGACTTGTGCTCTAATTGCTTCATCAGGTTTGTCGACCTTCTATGGACATGCTCCCCAGCATCTCAATGTCCTTTCTGTAGTGAGAGGTCCAAAAGTGAACACAGTATTCGAAGTGTGGCCTTAACAGTGACGAGTACAGGGGAAGGATCACTTCTCTTCTCCTGCTAACCACACTATTCCTGATGCAGGCCAGGATGCCATTGGCCTTCTTGGCCACCTGGGCACACTGCCAGTTCATATTCAGCCGATTGTCAATCGACATCCCCAGGTCCTTCTCACAGAATTGTAGAGGCACAGAATCATTAAGGTTGAAGAGACCTCTAAGATCATCAAGCCTGACTGTCAACCTAACAGCACCATGCCCACTAAACCATGTCCTGAATTGCCATGTCCACCGTGTCCATCACCTTCCCTGGCACTGAGGTCAGACTGACAGCTCTGGAGTTCCCCGGGTCTTCCTTCCGGCCCTTCTTGTAGGTGGGCGTCACGTTTGCAAGCCTCCAGTCGACTGGGACCTCCCCAGTCAGCCAGGACTGTTGGTAAATGATGGACAGTGGCTTGGTGAGCACTTCTGCAGCTCCCTCAGGACCCTGGGGTGGATCCCATCTGGCCCCATAGACTTGTGTATGTCTAAGTGGTATAGCAGGTCGCTAACCACCTCTTCATGGATTATGGGGGCTTCACTGTGCTCTCGATCCCTGTCTTCTCGCTCAGGGGACTGGATACCCACAGTACTGCTGGTTTTCCTACTAAAGACTGAGGCAAAGAAGGCATTAAGTACCTCAGCCTTTTCTTTATCCCCAGTCACTGTGCTTCCCCCCACATCTTCTAGAGGGGGGAGACTCTCCTTAGTTCTCTTTTTATTGCCAATGTATTTATAGAAACCCTTTTTATTGTCTTTAACAGTACTAGATTAAGTTCCAGCTGCGCTTTAGCCCTTCTAATTTTCTCCCTGCACAGCCTCACGGTAGCCCTGTACTTCTCCTGTGATGCCTGCCCCTTCTTCATAAACTCTCATCATAAGATCACAAACTCTCTTTTTTTTCCTGAGCTCCAGCCAGAGCTCTCTGTTCAGCCAGGCCGGCCTTCTTCCCCACTGGCTCATTTTCCAGCACACGGGGATGTCCTGTTCCTGTGCCTTTAAGAGTTCCTTCTTGAAAAGTGTCCAGCCTTCCTGGACTCCTTTGCCTTTCAGAGCTGCCTCCCAAGAAACTCTGCCAACCAAGTCCCTAAACAGGCCAAAGTCTGCCCACCAGAAGTCCAAAGTGGCAGTTCTGCTAGCCCCTCTCGTTGCTTCTCCAAGGACTGAAAACTCTATTACTTTTTTAAGGATTCCCCCTGCTCAAACTCCATTGCTTTATGAAACTAAATAGGGAAAAATACTGTTTATTAACTCACAATAGTTGTTTGTATATTGGGATATTATTTTGTAATAAATGCTTTAACTACTTCTGGTAAGTACAAGAACTTAAATACAGTATCATTAGCATGCAAACACTCCTCGTAAATATTTTGTGATTTTGGTAATGTGGAATCACTATAAAACTTTACTGTAATTGTTCATTTTAACCAAACAATTTAATATGACTTCACTCATGATTTAATCCATATCTGCAAATTAACTGTTAGAATTGATCAGTGTTATTATCTGTCATTATCTATGAAAACCTAGAGGTATCTGCCATGTAATAAGAGAAGTGGGTTAGCCTTTCCTTTGACAGAGCAGTAGTACTGTCTCACACTTAAAAAGCCAGGACAGTAATGAAGCCCTTTGATCTTTCAGATCCTCCACTAAGTCAATTAGCAAGTTCCCCTACTAATTTTTGAGTCTATAGCAGAGGAAAAAATACATTAGCTGGTGCAACTTACATGAGATCATTAGTCAGCCAAGAGTCTTCGCTGAACAGGAGTATGGTATATTTGCATTTCTTCTACATGTTTCTACTACGTATTTAACACATATAGCATACACAAGCAGAAAATTCTACTTACTTTTCATTTTCCTCTCTGTAATTTGAAACTATTCTGTCCATTAGCTTTTTTGCAAAGGTGTCTGCATTACTAGCCAAACCTTTCTTTATATCCTCACAATTCAAACAGACCATAGGGAAGTGAACCACCTCTGGTAAACTCCAGATTTCTTTCTTGAGGGTGAAGAATTCATCTATGAACTTCAGAAAAACATTAGCTTTTACACTTCAGAGCTTCATGTTATTTAAATACTCAGCTACATTAGTAAGTATTACATATTGAAGAAAATAAATATTTTTTCTATATAACACAGATTTTAGGTCAAAAAACCCCCTCTTATGTTGTAGATAGCCAACATAGATTTTAGCTAAAGGCTAAGCACCTTTATCCTCTATTCACTTTTTATTATTGCTGTATGTATAGTAAAAAATATATTAAATGTAGAATTAAGACTTACAGCAGTATATTCACCAAAACCGTGTTCTTCTGCTTCAAATCTTTCTGTCTGTGCCTGTGCAGTTCCATCTACAAGCCAGTCATACCTTTCAACTACGATTCAATAATATTGTATTAATATTATTGTAACACATACACTGTACAGTAAGTTATTTGTTTCAAAGATGTAAGTTATTTAAACACTCTTCAGTCACTTACCATAGTTTTCAAAATATTTCTTTGGACTTTCTAAGTTGTCTCTGATACATTTTTTCAAGGTAGATGTGGCCCATTCTATGACATGATCAGGAAGCTCAGCATTCAGAGTTGCAGTGTCTCCCATGAGCCAAGAACGCACCGTCTGGATGTTCTAAGAGAAATGCAAGTTCTAATTGCTTAAATTAAAAAAAACAAAAACCAACCAACAAACAAACAACAATGCAGGGAAACTCCTATTTTAAAAGTAAGTTGCAATCTGCAGAAGACACTATCAGCAAAGTATGAGACCCTAATCATGACCAGGTGTTTTATACACACCTAGAACAACTCTTCCTGATTCAGAAAGTTTAACAGGAAGCATGTGAAATAGACCAAAAAAATTCATCCAATCTCACATAAAATTAAATTCTATCCTATGTGCAAACACACAAATACAAAACACTTCTTTGAAAGTATCATTAAGCATGATAAAAGGCCAATACTAAGTCCACAGGGATAGATGTAAATGCCCCAGAAATATCTTTAGATATTGTATACATTAGTTAAGGTGTCTGAAGGTTTTCTTTTTCTTAAAAAGAAAAGGAATATCAACTCCAATTTTCCTCGTATTTCTCTGAGGATCCTAATTATTAGTGCAAGCTTATTGCAAGTTTATTGCAAATCATTGCACATAAAACTAAGGTGCTGACTATATTTCAATGCAAAATGTTAGTTCACAGTAAGTATACGCTGCAAAACTAATTGATTTTCAGTGTTAAAAATAAATACATAAATGAATTAGAATATGTGGTTATTTATACTTAAAGCACACTCAGGTTTTCTAGTAAGTTTTCAGCCTGACTTCTATTTAACAAACAAGCAGACAATTAATTTGCAGCAGACAATTAATTTGCAGACATACACACATTTACAGTTTAAAACACCAGACTAAAACCATCAGTAGCAGGTGTACCTTTTTTTTTAATGAACAAGGAATAACAGAGTTCCAGAGCCCAGAGTTCCACTGGGCATCAAGATTCATCGTGTGACCCGCAGAATACTCATGGAAAATAAATACCTCAAGTTGCATCCTGCTTTCCATTACCATGGTAGTCAGTGTCCTAAAGTCACGTATGGTGCAACTTAGCAGTTACATACTTAAATAAAGATAGAAGCACACCTGCAGAGTCTGTCCTATACGATTTACTATAAACAGAATTGCTTCTTCGAGGTCTTGGAAGCTTGGATAAAACTTCATTTTATTTTCATCAAGAGTCAATTCCATCTTAAATAAAGGTAGACAATTTCTGTCTTCAGGATCAAAAAGTTTCACAAAAGATCCAACTGTTCTTCTCAATAAATCTTTCAGCTAGGTAATAACATACATCACCTATTAGTTGAAAGAACAGAATGCCCCATCCCACTTTCCCTTCATTCAGTAAGCCAGCATTTCCATTCATTTTAGTACTTTTGGCCTGATTAATGGATAACTGAAGTAGTGTGAATCTTTCTAATTACTTCAGTGGCCATTAGTCGCAACCCTTAGAGGATGTATACTAATGAACAAACAAAAAAAAGATTTCAGTAAAGCCCATGCATTTATTTTTTGCAACAAAAGTAAGTCTATTACTAACATATGGTTTACATATAAATGAAATATCTGGAATGCAATTTCTTCTGACTTTTTTTTTAATATGACAATGATTTGATTAGAATATTCTTCTATTACTCTTCTACAAAGTAAAGAAAGGTGACTACAACTGCCTTCACAAACAGCTAAACTGATTATATAATAATTAATTATTCCCACTGATTATTACAATCTAAATAGTACAGTGTATAAAACAGATGTCTTAAGTTAATTGGAAGTTAAAGGATTTTTAATTTTCAGTAAACGAAGAACTGTGAACAATTGTTTTAGCCTGAAATCAGTGATTTAATTTGAATGTTCTTGTTTTATTATAATGAAATAAAACAATTGTAAATTCCTAAAACAAAAATACCCCTGAAAAACACTTAATGTAACTTCCACCTTGATATAAATAATCAGGGAGAAAAAACCATTAACTCACAAAGCATTGTGGTACCATTTTCCACCAAAAAAAGTATGTTTGGAAATTTTGCAGAACTATAGCCACTTGCATGTTGGCAGAGCTGGACATTCAGTCTATTTTTGCAGGTATGTTTGCTTTCAAGGGAGAGAAACCAGGTTTTGTTCATTTTGCTAATATATGACACATAATTGTAGTGCCAAGATCAGTGACAGGATGAGAACACGGAAGTATTTCCTTCTTTAACCTAATTACATTCTAATTGGTAGAATGAATGAATGAATTTTCTGCATCTAAAATACTAGATGGAAAAGCAGCAGACATGACAACATATTCATTTTAAATGGGGGAAGTTAAAAATATTTAACACTTTACTGCATTATGTGCAACTGATTGCTAACAAAGATTAATTAAACAGGCCCCATATAATATAATGTGATAAGTCCTTAAAATTACCTAAATTTCACCTTAGGTTTTCATGGAGAGGAAAGATTTTTACCTGATTAGACATAAGTGTAGCCACACAGTTATAAAAAGAGTCAATCTGATCAAACTTTACACCATACAATGACTCCTTCCGAGTAAAGAGACTAATAACTCCTTGATACCACGTATTCAGTATCTTTTCTTCTGCTTTAGAACAGCTTAGAGAGACATCATTTTTTAAAGATTCACAGCCAATTGGCCCTTTCAACCTGGAAAAGAGAGTTACAGGCAACTTTATAAACAAAATTAAAAGAACTCGTGGACTAAAGTAAGATTAATCGATACTGTATTACAAACCCACCCTTTTCTTAGCAGAAAGCACAGTGGGAATCTAAGCATCACTTCTGCAGACTTAAATGACAGAAAAGAATGCCCCAAATCCCAGGAAATAAAGAACAGTTACCAGAAAAAATAATCAAGAAAAATATATTGAAAATTATCTTTATAAAAATTACAAAAAGGAAAAGTTCCAAGATTAAAAATAAAATTCAACTGATGAAAACCAGCAAGAAAGCTGATCTTTAGGGCTAGCATAGAATTCCCTACAGATAGTAATACTACTAGAAGTCAATTTTTCAAATGCTACTTCAACCAGACTTCTATGGGGATCATGGCATTAAGATTAAATAAATAATGAAGATACCTTTACAGAATTAAAAGCAAAACATAAGTCAAAAGGTTGATACTACCAACAATTTAAACGCCGATAAAATATTTATACATGAGAAGAAAAATGTGTCATAACACAAAGTAACCTACTCAAAGAACATTAAATGATATGTTGAAGAAATTTATTAAATAAAAAATCCTACAATAAACAACAGAATTGTACAAACTCTTCTTTAGCAGCTTCAAAAATCTATATATGTTAATAATTCACCAAAAAAGATGTTACCCTAAACTTGAGAAATCCACTATAAGAAAAGTAGAGAATGCTGCATAACCCAATTCCAATAGTTTTCTCATAGTTGGGTGGAGAACGTGCAAACTAGAAATAATTTTATTTTTTGCTTGGATAAAACTGTTATGCCATGGTCTAGAAAAATCCAGGCCTCTGAAAAAAAGAAAAACAACCAACAATCAAAACAAACAAACAAAAGTTATAAGCTCAAGCAATACCTAAATAAAACATTCTTCCAAAAAGTACTATTAAAAAGTTTATTCCCTAACATGAATAGTAATTTAAGTGCCATACACATAGCCTCAATATGATGCAGTGGAAGACATAAATATACTCTGACTGATCAACCATGTTTTATACTCCAGAATGTTTTCAGATCATCTGCTCTTCCTGAAGCTTTTTCAGTGTAAACTTCACCAACTGCTAACAGGAAGTATTTGTCATCAGTATTTAGATGGCACACACTCTGATGCTTCAGCAAATTGCACAGTTCAAGTGATCATATCATGTCTACCTGAATTCCCCTTCTGTTTTGACAGAGAATAATAGCCTTTCCTTCAATCTCAAAGTTTCACCTCACATCACCAGTGTCATATAAAACCTTGGCACTAGATGGAGTTTTAGCATGTTGAACTACTGTATAATGCCACTGTCTGCCAGTAAACTGCCCTGTACACACACACACACACACACACACTTCATTCCACAGGTTGCTGCAGTATGACTTGAGTGTCTGGGCACTCAGAGCTAAAAGTCCCATTTGCAGTCATTAGTGCTAATCTATGTAACCGTAACAACAGCTATTCAAATGTAAGATCTCCTAGAGACAGAAAAATGTCTCATGAAGGGACTCCAGAATTAATATTGTGCCATAACTCTGTTCATGCAGCTCAGCGAGAATTTCACTCATGCAACAATGTGTTTTGCTAGTGGGTTATTTGCTAACTTAATCCACTCACAGAGGTAATAAAGGCAAAGGTGCCTCCTCTTCACCTTCAAGTCCTTTTATGTCTGGTTTAATAAGAACATTTTGCACTAGGAAGCAAAAAAGACCAAAACAAAACACAAATATTAATATAAATAACACATTAGAAGAAATAATATGATAATAATA